TGAAAACACTTCCCAGAATTTTAAATTTGTATACTTGCTTGTTTTTAGTGTCCCCAATTCGTATTTCACGTCATGCTCATTTCTTTTTCCTGACAACAATAAATTCTGAAATTGATATTTTATGCTTTCTTCTTACTTTCCTATATTAACTTATATAGGAATGCCAGAAATTTACTTTCCGCGTCTGCTATGAATATTGTGTTATCTGCGTGTCTTGTATTAAGATTGTGGCCACCAATAATCAATTCTGGTGGAACTTCAAATGCTCTCACAATCATCTCATTGTATAGCTATAATAATGGACACGTAGCCGAGAAGGTTCGCTTTCTGACCATAAGACCTGGGTTCGAATCTCACCAGGGTCGGTTTGTCAGGAAGGTGATTTCCTTCCTCATGTGCCGTGACGCCCTCAGGACACTGGCGATCATGGCTTTCCACAAGTTCCTGTTCTTTGTAGCGCTTAATAAATTTTACTTCTCTCAAACTCTACGCCGACCATGTACTCAAACTCTCTAGGTAGGTTATGGACTGTTTCCCTCTTGCCTTCAATCTTCTGAAACTTGTTCTGCCATCCATTAACTGAAGCTCTCTAGGTAGGTTATGCATTGTTTTCTTCTATCCCTCTTGCCTTCAATCTGTCCTGTGGGTATACGATTTTCCAGTTTAGTAGTTTTTTTCTTTGTTTCTAACGAAGTTTTCCTTTGTCTGTATTTCTGAGATGAGGTATTGTAGTTATTTACATAATTTATCCTGTTGCCAAATTCACGACGTTTCAACCTTTGTAGGCTACGGACTTCTTCATGCGATTGGAATTTCAAACCGAATCCTTTATTTCGTCCACCTGCGTAGAATGTTCTAGTTCTACGCCCCATGCCTCATAGACATATGGCTAACTTGATAGAAGCGTTGATTGAATTAATCCAGTGTCTTGACCCCGAGGGTTGTGAGTTCAATACCTGGCCACAGCAGAGGTGAGCAAAATTGGTAGCGTAGAGTTAAAGTGAAATAACTGAAAATGAGATATCTGCAAGGAGAATGGCACGTGAAACTAGAACATTCTACCCCGGTTCGATCTTCCAATGTGCACTACATGAAGTAGGTCGGAGCGCACAACGGCTAAAAAGTCGTGAATATGACAACAAAGATGAGGACAACTGTCCGAACAATGCAAATAGCGTGAAGATTTTTTCTATTTCTTGATACTCTGCTTAGCTTTTGAAAAACATCTTTGGCAATGAAAAAAGACGCTAGCGGATTTGTGTATCGCGCTTTCCGTCCTCCTTTAAAAAAAAACTTCCAAGATATTTAATATTGTTTTACTTGATTGATTTTCGTGTCCGCCATTTGTAGTTTGTATCTTGGGCTGTTCTTTTTCCTGGCAACGATGGATTCTGTTTTCTTGCAGCTGATGTAATAACCCTTTCGACTCGCTTTCCATCACGACCTTCTGCGGAAGTTTTTGTAACTTTTTTTTGTTTGCCGTGTCTGCTATCAACACCGTGTCATTTTCTATTGAATGGAGCTAGTTTGCTTGTAAGTTCTGGATTCTCCTAATTTCTTTTCCAAATAAATCATGTCTACCTAGTAGCTCAAAGAATTCTTTGTGACAAGGTGAGGCCCGTGCGTTTAAATTGAACTTGTTTAAGTTTATAAAACGCTGGACTATTGTTTCGTTTGATGTTCACGGTTGTAGGAGGAAAGCAGCAGCATTCAAGATGGCTTTTATTTATCATTTGCTTATTAAGTACCAAATTTTTAGATTAAATTTCCAAAGCCTATTATTTTCACAGTCAAACTTTTAATCTTTTACCGTTAATCTTAGAGTCCATTCTCTTTGTTTTATTTCTACCCACTGATCTTTGTTATTTGGATAGAACACATGTTTTCCAGAACTTCAATTTAATTCAATTAAAAAAGTAATCAAAATTCTAAGTTATCGTAACCCGAGAGTCTGAGCTTGCCACGGCGTGGGCTCTGTTGGTGGTGAAAAAACACAAATGTATGTGAACAGGCGTCTACAATGGGGATTAGCGAGCCGTCCTAGTAGACTGGCATCCCCAGATTCGAGTGGCTGCGCTATTTATTTATAGTTCTTGTTTTTCACCATTTTCTATTTTTGTACATTTCCTTCCTCATGTGTCATGTCCACTCAGGGTGTTGGTGATCATGGCTCTCCACATTTTCCTGTTCTTTGTAGTGCTTAATAAATTTTGTCATTTTGTTATTTCTCTCAAACACTGTCCCACCACCCATTTACTCAAACTCTCTAGGTAGGTTATGCATTGTTTTCCTCTGTCCCTCTTACCTTCAATCCTTGTTAAGGAAAGGTTTTTTCTGCGAGTTGTTTCTTGACCGTCAAGCGATATAGACGTATTCTCTTTCGTGTCTGAAACGGCTCCCCAGTGAGTAGGGACGGGAGTGATCGCCACTGGATTTACATGTCGACATTAATAAAAATAGATAGGTTAAATTTTTCTTTTTTCGAGTCTTTCATCTCTGAACACAAAGCATTTACCTCGAGTGGCCCCTGAGCCTTGTACAAGGGGAACCTCAATATAAAAAAAGAACAGAGTGTGGTCAGTATATTACATCAGATTCTGTTGGCTACATCCAGAAATTTGGTGGGGGACTCTAGAATTCAAATTCATTTAGTTATACCCTTATCGTATTAGTGAGGTAATGTGCAAAACGATTACAACGAATTAAATTAAACGCAAAATATTTTTTATATTGTTCACTCTGTACAAGGCCCAAGTGCTGCTCAAGCTAGAGTGTTACTAAAGGCGGTTGTTGTATGGGCGGTGAGAGTAAGCGGCGCCGTTTACGCGGTTATGTGGGAAAGATAACGGTTAACCTTAGACTTGAAGAGGTTAACACTTTCACTGCTACTCATTTGCCCAGGGCTGCCCCCATCCAGTCAGCCATTTTTAAAGAAAATGCCAAATTTCAACCTACATAATTTATTACACAGAAAACTGGCACCAGTGTGTTTTACAGCATTCCATTTTCATGGATATACCTGGGAATGACTTACCCGATCAGTAATGGGTATACACATGATATCTTTTGAAGCATTGTCCTTTGTGGAGTGGGACTTCACACTTTTTGCAGAAGTACCTTGTTTCTGAGCGTTTTCCAGGTTTTTTGCAGTCTCTGAATGGCATGGAAGGGTACCTTTTCTTATTGGTTGGTGGAATTTCTACCAAGTTTTGAGCTTTCATTCCACCAACCAGGCAATTGGCAGGATTAATACTTTGCCAGCTGGAGCAAGATAAGAAAAACGAAGATCTCCGTAGTTAGCAGCGGAAGTGTTAAAATTGTAGTGGTCGGGAAAGCACCTACGCAGGAGTCTGTTCCACAAAGCAAACTTACTCGTTACGAAAGGAATACAATGGTAATGAGAGCGGTTCGCCTCAATGCATGTATCGTGGCGGGGTCAGAACTGAGAGAACTAACTTTTTATTATTCTGTGGAAAAAGTGCAAAGTATTAACAGCCATATATTAGATATTACATATATATCAGGTCATCCCATAAGTTCTGTCCGAATTTTAACTTTTTGTTAAAATGAACGAAATTTAAAGAGTATTTTATAATGTCTAATGGAGCTGAACATTATTTTTATGTTTAGATGTATTTAAACTGATCAAATTTTATTTCACAGAACAATAAAATTAAATTTTGTTTGATTAAAACCCTGCTAACATGGAAGTACCCTAGAATCATTTGAGGTACATAATGCTTTATGAGTTCAAGAAAGGAAACTCAACAGCCAAAGCGGCTAGAAACATTCACTCAGTTTATGGAGAGGAATATGTGAATGAAAGAACTTGCAGAAGTTGGTTTGCAAAATTCAGAGGTGGAGATTTCTCCCTTGAAGATGAAGATCGAACCTGAAGTCAAGTTGAGTTTGATGAAAAGCTTCTTGAAGCAGCCCTCGAAGAAAATCCTGCTTTATCAGTTGAGGAATTGGCAGTAGTTTCTCAGTTAAAACCATACAATTGTTCATCGTCATCTTCAACAACTTGGAAAAGTTCCTAAACTTGGAAAATGGGTGCCTCATAAATTGTCTGAAAACAACTTCAAATCCCGTGTTGACATCTGCTCTTCTCTCCATTCTCGCCAACTTGTTTCACCTTTTTTGGATAGACTTGTGACTGGCGACGAAAAATGGATCTTTTATCGAAATGTTAAGCGTCGTAGACAGTGACTTGGTAAAGGGGAAGGACCCCAGTCACAGCCGAGAAGGGAACTTCATGGGCAAAAGGTTCTTCTTTCAATCTGGTGGGATCGCATGAATAATCCACTTTGAATTCTTACCACCTAATGCAACAATAAATGCTCAAATATACTGTCAGCAATTAGAGTGTTTGAACCAAGCTTTGAGGAAAAAAAGACCTGCTCTAATGAATCGAAAAGAGGTGATGTTTCATCAGGACAATGCGCGACCCCACACAGCAAGAACCATATCACAAAAGATCGAAGAACTTGGTTGGGAGAAAATTCCTCATCCACCTTATTCTCCCGATCTTGCTCCTTCAGACTACCATTTGTTTCGTAACTTACAGAATCATTTGGAAGAAACAGCTTTTTTAACACAGGAAGAGGTTAAAACTGACATTTGTGAGTTCTTCGAATCAAAGCCAAAAGAATTTTACAGTAATGGAATTAGTAAGCTTGTTAATAGATGGAAGGAAGTCATAGATAATCAGGGAAAATATATTGTTGATTGAATCTGTAATTAAATGTAACATTTGGTCACTTGTTTTCTTCATTCAAAATTCAGACAGAACTTATGGGATGACCTGATAGAACAGGCTTTTCTTTTTTTTTCACGAATTTTCCCGGTTTCTTATACTGTGCTTAGTTTGTGAAAGGCATCGTTTGCGTTTACTTTGGAATTTCTATGACACTCTGTCGCTTTTATAAAGATAATTTTTTATCATTCTCCGGGTTGACAAAGGTAAACGGATTTATTCATAATAACTCAGAGTTTAGTTATCAAAGTATTTCCCCAGGCTTTTCATAACGGAAGGAAAAGAAAGAAAAAGGAATGGAGAAAAATGACTTCATAAAAGAAATAGAGATAAAATAATATGTGTCGATACAGAAAAGAAAAAATTTAAAGACATCATTGGAAAAGAAAGAAAGAAAGAAGAGAGACTTATTTAGGGAAAGAAAAGAGAAAAATTTTATTTGGAAAAAAAAAGTCTTATTCACTGAAAGAAAAAGAGGACATTTCCATAGAAAAATAGAGAAAGAATGAAAAAAAGACGAAAAATTTAAGGAAGAAAGAAATAGAACACTTTCTTTGAAGAAAGAAAAAAGGAAAGAAAGAAAGAAGACAAATTTACAGAAAGAAAAAATAGATCTCTTTCTTTGAAGAAAGAAAAAAGGAAAGAAAGAAAGAAGACAAATTTACAGAAAGAAAAAATAAATCTCTTTCTTTGAAGAAAGAAAAAAAGAAAGAAAGAAAGAAGACAAATTTACAGAAAGAAAAAATAAATCTCTTTCTTTGAAGAAAGAAAGAAAGAAAGAAAAAGAAAGAAAGAAAGAAATTTACGGAAAGAAAAAAGAGAATACTTTCTTTGAAGAAACAAAAATAAAGAGAGACTTATTTAGCGAAAGAAAAGAGGATATTATATTTGGAAAAAAGAAGTCTAATTTAGGAAAAAGAGGACATTTCCGTAAGAAAAGAAAGTGGGCAAATTTAGGGAAGAAAGAAAGAGAACACATTCTCTGAAAAAAGAAAGAAACAAAGACCGAAAGAAAGAAAGAAAAAAGAAAGAAAGAAAGACACGATAAATGTACAAATTTCTCTTTTATTCCCGATCTGTTGTGTTCTCCGGACGTTAACCATCAGTTCATTTTGAAAATACTTCTCGCACTTTCCTTTGAGTCCATTCTGCAGGAAGAAGCCTATTTTGTTTAGACGTTTACAAAAAAAACGACTAGAAAAAGACAAACTAAAGAGAAACACGACGACCTTTCGTTCTTTGTTCGTTAGTTGAAGTATCGATGTTTCCGACGTAGTTCGAAATTCCGTTTCGTTTACACGACTCTAGTTATTGAGTACAATACAAGTTCTTTATCTAAATTAAAACTCATGTAAAAAATACGACCAGAGTTATAGAAAGTCGTAAGTTATCTCTCTCTCTATATATATATATCTATATATATATATATATATCTCAGTTCGTCCATATCTATCTATCTATCTATCTATCTATCTATCTATTACATTTCTTTCCCTGTCTATCTATCTATCTATTACGTTTCTTTTCCTATCTATTCATCTATCTATCTATCTATCTATCTATCTATCTATTACATTTCTTTCCCTATCTATCTATCTATTTATCTATCTATCTATTACGTTTCTTTTCCCATTCATCTATCTATCTATCTATCATCTATCTATCTATCTATCTATTACATTTCTTTCCTTTCTATCTATCTATCTATCTATCTATCTATCTATCTATCTATCACGTTTCTTTCCTATCTATCTATCTATCTATCTATATATATATATATATATATATATATATATATATATATATATATATATATCAGTTCGTCCATATCTATCTATCTATCTATCTATCTATCTATCTAACTATCTATCTATCTATTTCAGTCCGTTTATATTTACCTATCAATGGCAACCCCGGTGGTCGGACTTGTCGGGCTTAGCCCGAGTGCTTCAACATTTAAGTATATCTACTAATAATAAAGGTGAACCAAATAACAAGAATGTAAGTAAAAAAAAAGAATGAAATAAAATTAACGGGGTTAGTCGGGCTGAATAGGTCTGAGCTTGATCGAAGCTGCAGACACACTTAATAGGCAATATATTTCTTGCTTTAATTTTTATAAATAATCTTTTAAAAATCGCTCATGACTTGTAAGCACTGTTTTTCAAAGAACACATTTTTACTTCAAGTTATTTTTTGAAATGTTCATTTTAATTAAATTTATTCAGTACAGTATAAGGTTATTTTTTTTTTTTTTTTACCGGAATGCATTAATTGAAAAAGAAAAAAATTAAATTTAACGCGACTTAAAGTCGGCAAAATTCAAAGAAAATCGCTGCCTTAACTCGTCGAGTGGACATATGGAGCGAGGTGTATGGCGAGGGTAGTGTTGAAGAAATATATCAGTCAGCTATTCCTATCTCTACCATTAGTGACTTGATAACCAGGCTATGAAAAAATACTATTGGTAAGCGTGGCAATAAACAGACATATTAAAGACTTTGTCCTCACTTTTTTACTTACATATCTGGAAAAAAAATTAAATAAATGTTTATTTTTATAGAATTATTAATATTAAATTACGAAAATGTGTTGTTTTTTTTTAATTTCATGCACAGAGATTTTTTAGAATTATATATTTTAGTAAAGGAATCATTTTAGCATAGTACTTCTATCTATCTATCTATCTATCTATCTATCTATCTATCTATCTATTACGTTTCTTTCCCTATCTATCTATCTATTTATCTATCTATCTATTACGTTTCTTTTCCTATCTATCTATCTATCTATCTATCTATCTATCTATCTATCTATCTATCTATTATTTCATCTATCTATTTATTTATCTATCTATCTATTAACGTTTCTTTTTCCTATCTATCTATCTATTACGTTTCATTCCTATCTATCTATCTATCCATCTATCTATTAGTTTCTTTTTCCTTTCTATCTTCCCATCTATCTATCTATCTATTTTTCTTTTCATCTATCTATCTATTTATCTATCTATCTATTACGTTTCTTTTCCTATCTATCTATCTATCTATCTATCTATCTATCTATTACATTTCTTAGCCATCCATCGATCGATCTATTGCAGTTCTTCCACACACACACACACACACACACACACACACACACACACACACACACACACACACACACACACATATATATATATATATATATATATATATATATATATATATATATATATATATATATATATATATGGAGGTACGGTGAAGTAATAGATAGCGGTTTGAATTGAGGAATTCGAGAGCCGAGTTCTAATTCCACTCGATAACATTACATTCATTTACGTGCTAACACCCTTGGGAAAGGTATGAAACCGTTTCTTCTCCCTCCAACTATAGGTAAATAGTAGGACAGATTGGATGGCAACTGGTCTAGGAGAAGGACAACTCCATGTTCAAAACCTGAGAATTTCCACCACGGATTAGTAACTCAAGCTGAAACTTGGGTTCTGTATCAAATATTTTAAAGCAAACAGTGAAAACACTTTGGTTCTCCACCTCTGAAGAGGTTCAATGAAGAAGTGTCTGTTTGGCAAGATGATGGCTACTGTGTTTTTGAGATTCTGAAGGCGTAATCATAGATTACCTAAAAAAAAAAGGGAAAAGCTATTAATGGACAGTTCTTAGAATTAATACAACTGAAGGAAGCAATAAAGTTGAAATAAAGACGGAAGCCGAGGGCAGGTATGGTCTTGCTTCAGGATAATGCGCCCGTTCCCACTGCTCAGGTTGTAGCAAAATGCCGCGTTGAATTGCTTACTACCCCATCCGTATTAATCAAGAGACTTTATCCCAACTGACTTCTGGTTTCCTAAACTCAAATCCCGAATGCGTAGTTGCCAATTTGGACACAATGATGAGATCATACGTACTGATGGAATTGAAATAAGCTTAAGTGACGTTCGACCAAGGGCATTGATGTCAAAAGTGAAAAACTCTGTCCTTCCTCCAACGATTTCTGGTTGACTTAGAACTTTTGGAACGACCAACGTATCTGGGTCCGTTCATATATATATATATATATATATATATATATATATATATATATATATATAACTCCAAAACTGAAATCCTAAACGTATGTAGACATAAAAAATCTTGGCTACTAAATTAGACAGTTTCCCGTTATTGACATTCCACCTTAATGTTCGTGTTTTTTTTGGTTTTTTTCTTCCCTCCCCATTTTCGTTGAATAAATACCCCCCCCCTTAGGTTGTGTTTTTAGTTTTTTGGTCACGTGGTATGATTTTGGCTATCGCTATAAATATGTTTCTTTTGCCTCGTTAGCTTGACTTTCCCTGACGATCCGTTTAGGTGAAACCTAGGTAGGTTTGTCTGGCTCACTAGGTGTATCTATCTATATATATATATATATATATATATATATATATATATATATATATATAAAGAGATAGATAGATAGATAGATAGATAGATAGATAGATAGATAATATTAGTGGTAAATCTACACATACATATGCAATCATATATCTAAAATATATATATAAATATATATACATACATACATACATACATACACATACATATATATTTGTATAAAAAATAAATCCAAGAGGATAGAATCCAGGTAGAACTCAATGTCCAGGACAGAGTAAGGATACAATAAAAAGGCTTAAATACTAATATTCCATGGTCATAATTTATTCCATTGGAATCGTAAATACGATCCAATTCATCAGACCTACAAATTCAAAAACAAAACAGAAAAAACAACTCCGGGAATAAAAAATAAAATTTAATGAGAGTGTATGTATGAGAGTGTGGGACGAATGTTAGAGTAAATGAAAGCTATAGAGATGGGTAACAGACGAGAGAAGAACAGGAAGGTCTAAAGATGAAGGGGGGGTTAAAATTTAACAGAGAGAAGTTTTAAAGAGGTGAGTCAAAGACGGTTTAAGTGAGAGAAATATGAATGTTCTCGGATGTCTAATACATTAAGGATACATTTTGTGGTGACATACACACACAATAGACGATTTAAACTTAAAGATCTGAACATGAGTGAGGGAGAGGGAAAGAAAAGAAAAAGGTGAGAGATGAGGTGGGAGGAACTAAAACCGAAGGGCATTTATATTTGTGTAATCAAGAGAATTTGACAAAAGTAATATCGACTACAGGTTACAAATCAAATATAAACATATAAAAAACAAATATAACAATTATCTAATCTAGCAAGGACCTATATTTCTATGTTCAAAAACACATGCTTATACACACAGACACAACAACATATTTATATTTACGCGTACATACATACATACATACATATAGGCGTGTACACACATATCCATACATATCATCATCTTGCGGCCTCAGACGAGATTGAACTCACCAATACTTTGATTGGTGTAGTTCATAATCTTGTCAAATAGCTAAATTCTTGATGCTTCGCTAGGGCTATCAAGGGTGTTTTTATCGTGGCACCAACACTAAATGCCAATCAAGGCTCAGAGAGACTCCATTCACCCTCCTCTAAGAGCAGGTTTGAATTCAGAGTTTTCCTTCTCCTAGAACAGTTGCCATCCAAGGCTATAGAACCCAGTCTGTCCTGCTATTTAACCATAGCTGGAGGGAGAAGAAAGAGGATTCACACCTTTCCCAAGGGTGTTAGCACGTAAGTGAATGTAATGGATTCGACTGGAATTCGAACTCGGCTCTCCGATTCCTCAATCCGAGCTGCTATACATTACGCCACCTTGCCTTCTAATGTACTTTCAACTACTTTGCAGGTGTACAAGTTTGATAGTTCTGATGACTGAGTGAGCTGATAATAATTGTAAATATGTCCTCAAAGAAGCTAAGTCTTTGCTGATAGAATGAGACACCAAAGAGTCTCTATCAAGTTTGTTTCTTGTGACTGCTGGCGACTCACGTTTTGTCTTCTTACTAATTTCTAAACACTAAAAATTGTCTCATC